AACTTGAACCATGGCGACGGGCATGGGCTTGAAACATACTTAAGATATTAAAACTCCAATATAAGCCTGGATCTTTGCTAAGGATGTAGATAATTGCAGGAATATTACAGAAAATAAACCATATTTTTCTTCCACATCTTTTGAATAGTTAAAGAATGAAGTAGTGGCAGGATTTAGCTGGTCTACTGAACACAAGAAAAAGGAAACAATTATATAATATAAACAAAACACAATATGCTTTAGAATTCTAAGAAAAACAGCATAATACAAATGCTTATCCTGTACATTTTTAATCCTTTCCTGTGGTCTGTCTTAGCTACTGTAAATTATAATTCTTGTACTACAGATACTTGGAAAACATTGTATTACAGAGGATTATTGCTTACATATTGTTGAATTGTGAATTAATGAATACTTGTTGTGAGTTATTGTCTTTAGAAAGACTTATGAGATTGCTTTCTTTAGTAAACCAATTTATAGAAACACCCTATAAAAATCTAAATACCACAGTAATTGTTACTGTAAAAATATAATCTTTTTATAGGATAACAACATAATTGCATCAATTCTTCTATCTGGCTGGGACATGGTGGATAACAAAAAGATGACTTAATGCATTAATATCAAGTAATATCTCAGAATATTGGCAAATATTATATAGTTTACCTACAGTGCAGGACAAAACTATTTTTTTCATAGATGTATATAACTGCCTTTCCTCCTATTATCAAATTGTTTTAATGGTAGTTTGAGTAAATCATATAAATTGCAGGTAAATTGTAATTTCTGTGAACCTATTTACCCACATTTATGTGCAAGTAATTTGAATGTAATTTTGATAGTATTCATAGGTTTCTCTGCTTTTTCTGTAACTTTCATCCAAATGTCACAGTGCCACCTACTGGTTGTACACAATACCTGTAAATGTTATTTGCATTATGCTTAGCTTTAGTTACAGATTTCTTAAAATATATATGTAGAATGTATTCATGATGATCTGAATCGATTTCATTTGATACACAATATTCTATTACATATAGTAGTTAATTGGTCCAAGGATATGTCTGGTTGAGGAGCAACAAAAAAATCTTGCCTTAGAAATTATTTTTTTCCTAAATAAACAAAGAAAATAACATACTATAGAAACTTAACTAAACATTTTGACAAATCTCACAACATGAATACACAGTAAAAACACACATTATACTGTTATACTATAGCTTCTTAATACTACTAATAAAATTGTTTTTTCTTAAACAATAATTATAATACTGCATAGTTCCATTTTAATGTATAAATCTTAGTACAAATAATTGTACGTTGGTGATCATTTAACTTGGTGTGTTCACATTTGATAGAAGCAAAGGTTGTTCATCAGTTGTTAAATACAGTGGCAATAGCTCTGAGATCAAAGCATAAACCTTTACAAACATTCTGGCATTCCCACAACACAAGCCTTCGAGCGTAGACACAAAACTATGCCAGAAATAGGAATTCACACACAAGCAGAAAAACAAGGGACCCAGATCTTAAATAAGTTATGAGGATAACTACTGGAAACACTGAACACCAGAAGCTTAAAGGTACTGTATTACATTTTCATGTTATTGTTTTCACTGCTTGAATTTGCAGAAAATATATGTTTACTAGATTACTGGAGCAGAGAACAACATAAAAAACACAGGTTTAAAAGTTCATGGGTATGACTAAACATAACAATATAAAAACTATAAGGATTCAGCATGGCATTTTTTCAAGTTGAATTGTTTGCCTGACATTGTTTTAATACCAATATAAAGGCCAAACAAGGGGTACATTATGTATATTTTGAATTCCCTGGCCAACTGCAATCTGCATTAAAAACTATTCAAATATGTTTCATTAAAGTCCTTGATGTTGTCTTTTAACACAATAAACTTTGCAGATTAAAAACATAATTACCACAAATCTTAAACCACATATGGTCTTGCTAAATGAAACAGTAATTATGTTGTGGCAAAAAATATTATGGTTGATGTAACATCAACATGTAAACCATATAAAAATGGTACTACAAAAATTAGAATTGCAACAACGGTGAAAAGATTGCATCCAGTTTTTAAAAGTGCCAAAATTAAAGCACCACTGAGAATTGCAATAATCAATCTTCTTTACTGACCATGCACATAAAGTAAATATTAGACACAAGATTCTGAGACATAATAACTGGAATGATGTATAAAACCAGGCCGAGTCAGAGGTGCACTGGACTAGATCAATACTGTTTATCACCTCTTCTAATATCAATTTATTTATTCATTGAGTTTGAACATGCACCATATTGATCAGCCTCCCCCTTTTTTAATTAAAAAAATGTTATTCCATTCTCTTACATTTTCTTTCCGTTTACCCATTAAGCCATCAAAACTTGTTTCTTGTGCTTAGCAAATGTCAGCTATGAATCTGATCTAATCAATCAATCATACTAATCGTGTTTACCTATCGGCATCACTTTCAAAACACACCTCTGAATGTTGTTTTTTTTTTAGATGGACCATTACAATGTTCTGAATTGTATTCTGTCTTTAATTAAGAGTCCATCTAGAAGTCAGGAAATGTACTTTAGACACCAAAATTCAGAAATAAAAGTTATGTTACTCTATTTTTTCTAGTACTTTGTAACAATGAAGCTTCTGCATCAATTGATCCAGATGAGATGAAAAACTAAATTCTAATTAAAGACATTCTTATTTGCAGCCTAATGCTAGAATTGTACAGTTCCAGTATTTATGTTCCTGTTTCTCTGTGTGCATCTACTGTTGTGATGACATGGATGCAGTGGGTTGTGGCTACTGTGTTGTTCATGAATCCTGGTGCAGCAACAATGGGGAAAAGAGAGGATGGGAGGTGAGGGACTCCCAGTGGGCAGAACTTGAGTAAATGGAGGTCACTTGCACATGTGAAGACCTCTGTCCCTCAGAGCTACTTCCCCCAGTAGGAGGATAAATAGGGGTGTGCTCTCACTCAAAGTCTTGGGAGTCTGGGGAAAGAGAAGGTTAACATCTATGTCTCCCTTCATTCAATAAAATTATTCTGTTGTGATATCTAAGTGTGTGTAGCTTAGTTGCAGTGTTATATCTACAATTGATTTATTAATACATAATTTATGCAATTGTAACCTCTTAATTTAACCTCTTAATCACTTTGTAGGGATCTAAAGCACAGAGGAAGAACAACAAAAATTGCCTGGAAAACATGTTGATCACCTTTATTATTATGCCAAACAATCATGTTTGCTTATAAAGTGTATATTGGGAGAAAAAAGATTTAATGCCCTGTAAAGTTAAAGCTGTATTAAAGATTATTTGCTGGGTACAACTGCACGGAGCTGTCAGAGCACTATATTTAAACAAACATTCAGGAGGTGGACGAACACTAATCTCACTCATTTCTGTCTACTTGCAAAGGAACAACACACCTCTTGCTTATTCACTTGCAAATCTAGTTTTAGCAAGTCTTCCTCCACTCCAAAATGTGCCCAAGCATAAACTCCTCAGCTCATCCTTCATTAAAGGAGGGGGGGGGTCCACCGGCCCCATTCTTATGACAAGTTATTGTTCACCTCAGCCAGATGAGTCACCCCAATAAATCTCACTATTCAAATCAAATTTCATCTTTCCTTAAGTACTGAAATCTAAATAATGATGACAGTTAGAGAACTGGGTGTTGTGCTGTTGCCAGGACTTGGTACTCTCAGCTGGCAGTTGGAGACCTGTATACAGTTGCTATGTGACACCATATACGTTGGTTGTTATCGCAGATCATCATTAATGTCAGGGGGGCTGCATCAATGATGTTGGACCAAATATAAGTATCATGAACATGGGACGTGTAGGTAGGTGGAGTAACACAATAAGAGCTTTCATAGTTGTAACAATATACTGTAGTTCTCAATTCAATTGTGGAAACTAGCTGGCAAATTGATATTAAATAAAGTTTCCAGCAGCAATGAGGTTTCATTTGGTTGCTAACAGACCTAACATTGAGTTGTAGAATTTGGAAAGCAAATACTATGTAGTAAATCGGGAGGTGCTTAAAGTTCAGGCTCTTGGTTCTAAGTGAATTTGGATTCAGTAATTCAGTAAAACGTTTCTCAAATTTATTGAACATTTCATGGAATTCTGCCTGCTAGTTGGATTATTGTTTTTTAAGAAGGATCTCACAGAGGCTATAGCATAAATAGCACCCTAAGGATGACTTGTCAACACACAGGTTTTGAACTTCTTGAAGTTCTCTACAGAGAGAACAGTCCTTCCTAAACAGGTTCAGTTAAAGCCATGACCACTTTACACCTAACATAAACCAATGGGTCATTGGTGCAAACTCTTATTCACCTGTGGACAGATACCAGCTATACATCACATTTTATAAGAACGTCAACATGAACACAAGAGGGATCTCTTAATGTGGAAATCATCATATCAGGCTTGGCATTAAAAGATTTGCATTTATTATATAATACATTTCTCACTAATCCAAACTTTGAAAAATTGTTTTTTATATTCTTAAATTATTAAAATGTGTTGTTCTGTTCTAGTGGTGCCTTTGATAAACATGACTGAGGAGGAATGTTTTGCCTGGATTTCATTTTCATACTTTAAGGATTACCAGTAATCCACTGGTACATTCCAATGTCACAGTAGTTATGGACCCATAAACAAGACTGAATGGTTTATAGCCTATTAAAGAAGGGCTTGTAATGTTTTTAAGGATAGTGGATGCAGTAGAGTTTTAAATTCCTTTCTATAGAGGAGAACTCTGTATAAATGAGACATTTCAGGAAGATTTGCATTAGCCTTAGGGATTAAAGAAGGGCATGTAATGTATTTAAGAATAGGCGATTGTGTGGAGTTTTAGTTTCGTTCTGTAGAGGAATACATTGCATAATTGAAACATATCAAGAAATTTTCCATTGCTTTGACTTTAGGTATCAACTGACCTTTTATATTATGAAGACTGTCATTATTAAACCTTTGAAAAAAAGCAGACATTTCAGTACTAATTTGTAGTCATTTTTAGATTTGATTTTATATTTTTTTAGACCATAGTATAAAGATGTTGTGATGTATTTCTACAAATCCTCAAACTGAAATACTTTGAGGGTTGATCTAATTTGACATGTATTGAAAAGATAAAGGAAGATTTCTACTAAATTTGAGAATTTTAACAACAACATGGTTACTAAGAATTTACAAACCCTTGTGTAGAGATAGAATTATTTGATCAATTCTCAGCCTGTCACCATGGAAACAGGACAAAATAAGTGTGGATTCCTCTTTTCTACTTGACAAACATATTTTTATTAATTTAATAGTCCAAAGAAAGGATTAAGAGAATAAAAATGATAACTGAAATGCTTTTTAACTTTGCCAGTATGAAAGAGAGGCATTGATGCAAATGTATTTTCTAGGTTGAGTTAATAATTGTTATATCATAGCATTTTAGGTTAAAGATGATACTGTGTGAAAGGGTGAAAATAATTATGGATGTTTAGATAACTGAAAACCTTAGGCTTTATTCATCTAAGTCTATTCAAACTAATATTAATATTCTTTTTGCATAAATAGAGCTCAGGAATACATTTTAAACAAGTGAAAGCATTTTACAATTTTTAATGAAATGCTCATTTTGGTGTTTTAAAGCTCTAAAGAATGAAGAAGAACTGTTTAGGAGACAGACAGAAGAGGAAATTGATGATCAGAGTATTACTGCTGTCTTCATCATATAAACAGTCTGAAAGATTATTCCTTATTCAAACAAGTGGAAGGACTATTGGGATTTTTGTAATACTTTAAAACTCAGATTCAAACATTTAAATGACTAATGTACATTTCATGAACATTTAACCAATATCAATAAATAAAACCTTTAATTAATACATTTTGAATCATTATGATTGATTAATTTGTGATTGCAACCTGTGCAAGGTGCTATAACTTTATAGAAATGTATATTTTTCTTTCATAATTATTGTAATATATTGTTATAATTCATTTTCTAGTTTATTTTGAGCAATTTAAAAACATCTTGTACACAGCAGTTAAGGATACTCAAATATGTTATGCCCAGTGTTAAAATTGTGCTAATAAAGAAATAATACCATATCAACACAGCACATCTAAAAGGATAGTATACAGGGAAACAATGAGGCTTTTTCAAAGATTTCTTTTACTGAGACTTCTGGGTTGTTGAGCAACGGAAGAAACACCAAAGATTGAAAGGTATCTGCTGTCATTCAGAAGAAAAGAACAAGCCTGATTCTGATGCTGAAGATAGTATAAGGCTAAGTACATGTAGCAAAATCTCAATCTGACTGCTAAGGGAAGTTTTTGAAAAGTGAAAGCTCGTTTTCAATATTAGCTTTTCCACAACCAGAAATACATTTCAGTCATATTATATTTATTTAATTTTTAAGGAAAAAAAATTTATTAAGGGGTGGTTCTTTGCTGTTGTTTACACTTATAATATTGAACACAATGGCACTTTGGTGGTCTTCATGGTGGAATGTTTGCTGGAATCACTACTTCAATACAGAGAGAGGTGT